TGACTCAGTATATTTTTTCCATCTTCTTTTAATACTTCCTGGATCATTTAATATTCTTCCTATAGCATCCTTGATTATAGCAACTGGAGGTTTGAATTTGTTCTTCAGTTCCTTAAGCTTAAGAAATGCTGAGCGAGTTTGGTCATTTTGATTTTCTGACTCCAACTCCTTGCACATTTCATTGTAATATTTTACTTTGTCATCCCACGCTGCCTTTTGAAATCTTCTACTCAAATCTTAAAGAAGAAAAATTTCTGCACTTGAAGTAGGCTTCAGAGCTATTGTATATAGGGTTTCTATGAATTGTAGGCAACTTGATGGCACACAACAACAACAACAACAACAACATTGCTATCTTTTAGATATGCTTCACAAACAGATTAATAAGTGGATTTTACCAAAATAATTTTAATTGCTTTTTAGAATGAGAGTTTCAATGGAATTTTTAGTTTATTTTATATGCCACATTTTCATACACAATACATTGTCCATTACATACACATTATAATATATTCTCAGAGAATGCTTTATTATATGAAAATATAAATATTTTCATAGTTTATGATAAATATTCAGTATGGGTAGTTGGCTAATATTTACATTTTATACCAAGTATTATTTCTTGAGAAACAAAACAACAACAACAAAAAGCAGAACCATCATTCCATATGTCAATATTTTAGTTTCCAAAATTTTTTTTGCACACATTTCAGAAATCCACTTCCTTCCTTCTAAAGAGACTATAAAGTTAATGCAAGAATGGAAATAAAAACAGCACATGGAATAAATATTAAAGCTTTAGGAAGTTGTCAGTCCTCTAAAACCAGAAATGAGTTATTAAAAAGTAATGAGAATTATCTCAATTATGTTTGTTCCTCTTTTCCTCTCTGGTTCACTTGAGCTTTCCAGAGTTCATCATTTCCTGTTTAAACAATGTTTTGAATGCTATTTCATGATTATGGTGCTGTGCATGGCTATACGGATTAATATGTACTATGAATATCATATGGTGCAACTTCTTGGGAGAAACTACAGAAGATTTTGACTTGTAAAAATATTTTTACTTTTGTTATAAATTTCAAATTAGAGGTTAAATCAAAGTGAGGACAGTCTTTCTGTAATTGTTGGGTCATGCAGAGACAATGCAGGTGATACATATTTGAGTCACCTTTAAAGATTTGTTTTATTTTTGGGAGCTCTGGTGGCCTAATGGCAAGGTGCTGCACTGCAATCCAAGAGGTACATGGTTCAAATCCACCAGATGCTCCTCTGGAGAAAGAGGGGCAATCTCCTTCTGTACTAGTCAGATCCAATTTGACGGTACACACACACAATAATAATTAAAAGACTTGTTTTATTTTGGTCATAATATTTTTTCCCTTATTTTATGTTCATTTTAGGATTGGATTATAGCACCAGAAGGTTATGCTGCATTTTACTGTGATGGAGAATGTTCTTTTCCACTCAATGCTCATATGAATGCTACCAACCACGCCATAGTTCAGACACTGGTATGCTTTCTTTTTACAGGATTGAAATGGTTTATTCAAGCATGTTGTGAAAATTTCAAGGACTGCATTCCTTTAAAAATATCAATTCATTGTCTTCTCTCTTCAAACTTCTTTATTATTTCCTAGAGACAATTTGACAAATACGAGTAGAGTTCGTAATTTCAAGCTAGTTGAACAAATAACTCTGATTCCAGAATGGGGGCAGAGTTAGAGCGGTGGTGGAGGTCAATGAGGAATTTTAGAGTAATCACATGAAGTGGTCATTTTGCTCTGATTTCTTCCCTCTGCAGTCTGACTAATCACACCATTTTTCAAAGTCTGCCTCTCTAACCACAATTCATTAGTAACCATTGCAAAAGATTTATAATTGTACTGGATTTCATGTGCAGGCTTTTGCTCTAATTATTTCAGAATGCCCCATAATATACTTTGGTATCATGAAAGGTCTTCTATTATTCATCATACTTTGTCAAGGAGTTGGAAGTGACTCATTGCTGCCCCTCCTTTGAGTTTATAAGGCTGTGAATTGCATGGGATGGAGACAGTCCATCTTTCTCCCAAGAAGTTTCTGCTGGAGTCGAACCACCAGTGAGGCTTGGCCTTTAGTATAACAGTACAACTCTATGTGGAATATGCTACCTTATATATTTCCATGTAGATTATAAGTATGATGCTTTTTTCCTTTTGATGAATTTTTTTAAGGTAATATTGAAAGTGGAACTCAGCCTTCATTTTTTTTCTCTCTTCCATACTCAGGATTTAACTGTTTGATTGAATCTCTAGTAACCTAGTCTTAATTTTGTAAATAAAATGATGAAATGTTTACTTTATGGTCTGTAAATAATCACACTATACCCGGTGAATCTTCTTGTGAGGCTAATTTACAACACAGACTCTTGGCGTGCAGGATGAATAATCCCTGAAAGGCTGAGAGAGAAACTTCTAGAAGAAACAGTAGGCGGTGTCACATTCTGAACTAGTGTTTAAGTTGGTATGAAAATGTTAATTGTATGTTTTTAGGAAGGAAGAGCAGGAACTCAATATTTAAAATCAAGATTCATTTATTTTAGAAAGCCCTTTAGACAAATACTCCCTTCTTCCTTTCACTTTTCTTTCCCTGTTTCTTATAAATATATAATTGCATGTTATCAGTTCTTAGGGATTCTAGACTTGAAGACAATATTGAGAAACAAACATTTAAAAATATTCTGACAGTAATTTGGGTCCAAACCCTGTTCAGCATCGCTGTCCTGGGATGTGAGACATAAGTTAGCAGAAACTCCAATGTCTATGAAAAAGGTTTTTCTTTTTGAGGTTTTTATTTCCCACATTGTACACACTGCAGGTTTGTTCTATGTAGAAAATTTTTTAAAAATCCATGTTTTTGTTAAAGGAAAGCATATTCATGACTAATATATTTTAGAAATCATTCAAGAGTCATCAATTTTTCCCCCTAGAATGTCTACTTCACGGGACTGCCAAGACCATTGAAACAAGGGGTTATCAATCATATGTGTGTGGGTTATAGAAGATAAAACTGACGAGGCTCACAAGCTGCAGTGGAAATTTGTAGAAACCATCCAAGTTTGAGTTTTGTGAGGTCTTAGGAAATTTCAAGTTTCTGTCAGATCACCTCATTTTTTTCTGCTGTTTCTGTCCACATGCAAGGCTCCTATATCATTTCAGCCAGAATGTTGTACAGCCAAAACTCTAAGAGGCTGTGCTGGATTTTTGTAGATCCCTTAAGACTTATTGATGGGACTTCCCATAAACTCCTTTGGGGGAAGGGCCAGACTAGGTGAGTGGGAGGTGGAAGATCACAGCACTGTTTCTTTGCTCAGTGTTTGCAAATCATATGCAGACCTCCAGTCAGATTGAAATGAGTATCAGCCTTTACAGAAGTGTTTCTACATTCATATACCACCACTTTTTCAGATTATCTTTTCAGGGGACAGGAGGATATTCAATTTGAAAGTATCTTTGCTCTTTGTTTCTAACTTTTGTATAGCCTGATTTTTGATAATTTGTCTAGCAAAGAGGAAGGAAGCAAAATAGTAAAAATCAAACTGTGGAGGAGAGCTGAAATAGAACAGATTATGTCCAAAGTTTGTTTATAATTGTTAGAAAATTAACTATGGAAAATTAAGTGATCAGCTTAAGGGCATTGGGTGGTTAATAATGAAATATGTACATTGCTTTTAAACTGTAAATTAAATGACTGCATTATTCCCTAAAATATTTGTGTTTTCTTTCTGTGCCAGGTTCATCTGATGTTTCCTGATCATGTACCAAAGCCTTGCTGTGCACCAACCAAATTAAATGCCATCTCTGTGCTATATTTTGATGACAGCTCTAATGTCATTCTGAAAAAATACAGAAATATGGTAGTGCGCTCATGTGGCTGCCACTAATATTAAATAATAATGGCAATAACTAAAAGATCTGTATTAAAGTTTATGACTGCAATAAAAAGTATACTTTAAGAAAGAAAATCCAGGGAAATTTCCTAAAATTGTTCCGGCTCATTTAATCTTTCTTGCTATGTAAAATATCTTGTATATAGTCATTTATATTTATTTAAAGGTATACATCATCCTTTGTGGTTACATTATCAATAAAATCTATTTTATAGATCACAGGGGGTTACACAGCAGATTGCCCAGGCTCACTTGTGGTGGGTTATTCTGAGTCCTATCCAATTCCAATTCAACATTTTTTTCTTGATACAATTTTTGTATCATTTTCTGCAATTATAATTCCTTTGACCATTTAAGACTGCTGAGGGTAATGTAATACAACTGATTATGTTGTTCCAATGAAAACTAGGATAAGATATTTATTTAGAAATAAAACGTTAAAGAAAAAAATAACAACTCGAACAACAAAAACTGCTTTGGAAAACACAATTCTTCTTTTAGCATTTCGGCTTCATCGGCTAAAGTGAAATGTTGAACTGGATTTGAATAAATAAATGGTAGGCAGAACACAGAAGCTGAAAGATTGCACATAATTGTTTTAACTCGTTTGCTTTAACAGAATTGGTGTAACTGTAGGAGCATGTTATTTCTTGGCTTAAGGGGTAGATTTTACAAAGAGCTCAAAACTTCAGGAATTCTGTGGAGACAGACCAGAATCTGTGTCCATAACTCTCCAAGTTAACGCGAAAAATTGTAGTACAACCTTCTTACCTCAAATAAATCATGTCTGCCTATTATCTAGAATACTACTGCTGCAGATTTTTTTTTTAATTCATTTTGAAAAAGAGTCCAAAATAAAGAAACTTTTGCATGGGCCTCACTGCACTCCCCTCACTCCCTGAGTAAAATATACCAGAGCAGAAAATGTCAGCAGAGCCATTTTCTTCAGTTCTCCTTTATAACTGAATTTGCTGATTGATGTCATGCAAGGGATTTTATTTGGGGTAAAAGTCCAGAAACTAAACTGGAGGAAATTACTGAAAATCCTAGAATGGATTTGAATTGCCATTTTAAAAGAACAGCTGAAATCCATTTTTCAAATCTTTGAGAATGAGCTCAGTGGAAACCTTATTTGTAGGGAGGATTTTTAAACTTAGAATACAAATAATTCTGAGTTCAAATAAAACTAGGAAGGTTCTGTTGTATGTATGTGTGTGCATTCTTCTGTCTGAAATAAGTTTATTTTCTTTTTATTTTTCACTAAAGCCACTTTACCACGCACTGGCTTGTTGAAGAATTACTTTTATATTACTAACTTGCTATTTATTGTGGCTCCACATTTATGCCTATTTACAGTTCCTCTAAAAATACTCCTAAAGCACCATTTATTAAGCACTCTTAGAACTTTTGTAAAAAAAAAATCATAAATAGATTTAAAAACATTTTGGGCATGTTTGTAATTTGGGTATGTGGGAATATTTAAAAACACAATTTATCTAGAAGGAACTTTGAAAATAGCTATATTTGGGAGTACATTAATTAATATATGTTTAAAGTCATTGGTGTACCATTGTAAGAAAAAGAAAATTTATTATATCATTCTTTAAATGTGCTGTCTAAATATATTTCTCTATTTTAAGATATATTAAACATGTCTATTGTGCTTTTTTTTATTTGGCTCTTTATTTAAGAGAGATTAAAAATATATATCTTAAACTGTAAAGTTAAGAATATTAATCAAATGTTAAATGTTTATGGATTACATATTTTTTTCTAATCCACAGTGTTTTAAATATCATCCTAAAGCTATTACTTAAAATCCCAATAACTTGTCCTGTTTTAGCTAAGCTACTTTCTTTAAGCAATGTACTGTAACACTTTTTTTGAGTGTTTGTTTTAAATTGTTCTGTCTGCCTTGTGTTTTGTTTTCTAAAATAGACTTACTTTTTGTCATTTTTTTTTCTTTCTTGGTTTTTTTTTATGTGTCCTGGAGTCAGAACTGATCTATAACTAACCCTCCAGCAGGGTTTCAGAGGTGTTAAATCACACAAATTGTTTTAAAACTAAAGAAAAAGTGAATAATTTACACTGAATTAAAGAAATGAGGCAAACTAAAGAAAATCCAATATTTTTTTCTCAAATAAAGGACTTTCATTTTATAGTCCATATATGTTGCAAGGAGAGACAGGTCCTTGGAGAGGGACATCATGCTTGGGAGGGTGGAGGGACAGCGCAGGAGGGGAAGACCCTCTATGAGGTGGATTGATTCAG